TATATATATACAGTACAGGAGTTTCACAAATAGAGGTCATTTCGCGCCTCACCCTACTGATACCATTGAACAAGGGAAAGATTCTACTCACTATGGGTGTTAATTGTGGTCTTTGTCACATCACAACATATCCTACCTACTTCAAGCTGTTTTTTTCTTGCTTGGCTTATTTTTTGACCTGAAGATGAAGCCGACATGTTCCTCCGAAACATCGGTTGACTTTCAACTGATTACACGGCTTATTTCTCAGTAGTAGAACTCTTCATGCAGCTCGCTACTAGCGTTCTGAGGGATTGACTTTTTTCTTTCTGGTTCCTAACAGATTTTGTGGAAGGAATCATTAGAATACTCGCGAATGGAAGCGCTGTTCGTTACCGAAACACTTGCAGCTTACACGTTGAAGTGATTCTCTTTAGAAAGCTAATAAAAATCAATGCCTGTAGAGGCGTGAGGGATAATTTGAGAGCATGAGAGAGCCGATCAACTGTGAATTTGAACAGAAAGTCTGTCGTACCCATCAGCATGCTGCATACCGCCGCTCACTGGGTGCGCTATGTATAGACCACACATGGCAACACAAAGGAAGCGTGACGTTAAAAGCGCGTCAAGCCGAAAAGTACAAAAGCGAAGCCTCATTAGACAGAAGCGTCCTTCACTTTCCAGTTTCACTCTGATATTTTAGGGCTGCTCATATTTCTTGGCTTCGCTTAAGTAAGTAACTTTAAGTTGTAAAACTCGGAAGGTGATTTTATATTTTGTAGCGAAGTGAATGGCCAGTGGATCAGAGGATATTAAAAAGAAAGGCCCATAGGGCTCTGAGACGTTGAGGTCCCACATTATCTAGACAATCGGCTCAAAGTTGGCGGTAAGGTTGTCAGCCCTACGAGCCGGCCGCGCTTTACTCCCCAGGAAAATTATTTAATTAATTCCTGGTACTCTTTCTGTTTTTTTTTTTTACCTTGGCACTACAGCCCCGGTGGGCCTAGGCCTACCTCCATGAACTTCTCCGTTCACTTCGGTTTTTCTAGATCTTACACATTCGGTAGGACTCCTTGGGCGGGTGATCAGCTCGCCGCAAGGCCTCTACCTGTAGACAAACACAGAGAAACGCGCACAAACATCCATGCCATGAGTGGGATTCGAACCCACGATCCCGGCTTCCGAGCGAGTGAAAACAGTGCATGCCTTAGACCGCTCGGCTACCGTGACCGGCACTCCCCAGGGCCTAGTGCGGCTGGAAGGATTAGGTCAACTGAAAAAATCCAATGACATCATCGGGACTTGAACCCGCGACCTTCCGGCTTGTAGCATAGCCCCTCAATCACTACGCTACCGCGTGCCTCCCAGAGGATATTATTCGGAATGCGAAGACCCGAATATGGTGCACAACCGCAGATGAAATGGGCGTATTGATAGAACAGGTGACGCGAACCTTACTAAAAAACGACCTTTAAAAAAATATTGAGAGTGAGTGTGTGTGGCCGGGGACTGAACGCGAAGGAAGTTGCGTGATCTGCGAAAGCTGGTGATATTGATAGAGGTGGCCTCCATGCTGGAGCTGTGGTTGAAGGGGCCAGGAGCTAGAAGTGCAAGAGGAGGAAAGGGGTGGGAGGGGAGACAAGAGGAAGCAAATTGCGAAAGTGGAGAGATGAAAGAAGAGTATGAAGAAGACGTGGAGTTATGGGAACGTAAGAAAGTGAGTTAATAATTGTACAGCCAACGGAATTTCATCTCCGAAAACGTGTTCATGATATTCCTCGATTATACTGGTTGGCTAGTTCATGAAAGCCTCCATCTGTACCATCTGCAGAGGTTGTTTAGCCCCGACTGAAGAGAATGGTGAAGCTGAGGACACGTCCCGATGCTGATATCAAGGCCGCTGGTTCCAAACCCGCTCGTGGTTTGTTTTCTGTTGCCCTGCAAAATAAGAAACCTGGCTTGTCAGAAAGACGTTACGAAACATCTGTAACAGAATACAGCCAGTCCTGGCAAAGATATATATTTAGAAAGAACAAAAAATTATATGAAGAACTAATCGCCTACTTTCCAATCCAGTCCAATAAATTGCTACTGGTGCTCGGCAGCACAGTCGTTCTAGGTTTCGAGCCCCGCTGGGACCCATGACGTAGTTTATGTGGCTATTTTCTTTCACTACATAATGAGTAATTGATACGACACGGACCGTGTGTGTATTCGTCGCAGCGGGAAAGCGTTTACATAGCCGTTGCCTAGCCACGATTAAGGGACACGCAAAACCACAGACAGCAAGGTGATCTCATATAGCTCATTTAATTTTTCAAGATAAGGTAAGTGGGCTAATAAGATAAGTGGAAATTAGGAAGTACAGAGTTGTGAGACGTCGTGGCTCCCACTCTAGGCAATCGGCTCACAGATGGCGGTGAGGTTGTCAGCGTTACGCGCCGGCCGCACTTTACCCTTAGGAGAATTCCTGGTACTCATTTCTGTTAGAGACTGAGTCGACCCCAGGGCCA